TCTGATGAAGATACACTTGATCCATTAAAACTTTTTTCTCATTTAGTCTTGTTGAATCAATTCAAGAAACTTGAAATAGAAGATGAAAAGATTGATGCTAGATATTTGCTTCGTGCAATCAATCGTTATATTTTATGGTTGAGGATGTTGAATGAACGGGAAGAGAAAGAAAATTTGCCAATTCCACCAATTGATGTCTGTTACATTTGGCACTCTCATTGCTTGTCACCAATCAATTATTATGAAGATATCTATAGACTGCATAACGTAAACCTTGATTACTATTATATTCCTATAGAAAAAATGGTAACTATTTGACTTTCTTTTTGCTGGTGAAAAAATTAATTAATTAATTATTATTTCCTAATTGATTAATTAATTAATTAAATTAATAGCTTAATGTTTGGTTGACAAATGATAATTATGAACACATTGATCAACAATCCAAGGTTTTATGGGAAAACTATACAACAATGCCATGGATTCTTGATCCTAATGATGATTCTGATTTTATTTTTGCATGTCCATGGTGTAATTATTCAAATTTTGTCAAATGGTAATTAATTTTAAACAATAATTGTAATAAATTTAATAATAGTAATAAATAATTTCTAAATATATATCTAACTGCAACAATTTAATATTAATAGGGACAAATATGTTGATTTAGTAAAAAACCCAAATGATGAATCTTCATCAATTGTGTGCAATAAATGTAAAGTTATTTTAACTCCAGACAATTTATCAGCTAAAAGATTTCTGGATGACATCAATGATTGTATTAGCCACACAGAAAATAAATATATCAGGTATAAAAATAAATTAAACATTGTCAATATTAATTAAAGATTATTAATTATCTACATATCTATCTATCTATAGTGGAACATTGTTTAATCATAGAACTGGTGAAATTGATGCAAAAGCTGCAAGTGATGATGTTGATTTGTTTTTTTCATCAGCTGTTATGCAAGAGGTTCCTAAATTAAAAGAACTTTTGGAATCATCAAAACATAGCTCTTTAAACTGTAATTGGGAAAATATTTGCAAATACTTGTCAGAATCAATTGCCTACCTAAAGAAAAAAAGGCAATTCAGATTATTAAAAAATACCATAGTTAAAAAAGTCATTGTATCTTACAAAGATAATATCTTTCCATTTGCCTTCAGCTTGTTGGATGCAGTCAACAGACAAAGAAAGTTCACTCAGAAAATGGTGGTTGATAACCACTCTTGGATTTGTAATTATCAAATACAAAATAATGCTATTAGAAGATATGAATGTTTCATGAAATTAATTGGTAAGAATCCATATAAATGTATTGTACCAACATTAGATATTGATTTAGCATGGCATACACACATGCTGAATCCAAAATTTTATAAAAAATATACAATGGAAAAAACCAAAAGATTTATTAATCATGATGATAGTATAGAAGATCAAGTCATTGATAAATCGTTTAAGAAGACCTGCAAGCTATGGTACAAGGAATTTAATGAACTTTATACCAATACAATTGAACCTTCTGATTATTTATTCAGTAAGACACAAAAATTTTTTGGAGCTTTTGCATTCCCTTTTGGTGCTTACATGCTTTCTCAAACTACAAAGGCTACTGAAGTTTACAACAAATCAAAAGTTGGTGGATGTGCAATTAGCAATAATACTGGAACAAGAAAAGTGAAACCACTTGAAGGTATTTTCAAGAGTCGTAATAGTAGTAGTAATTATAGTAGCATTAATAATGGTGGTATTTTTATTTTTGCTGGTTGTGGTGGTGGTTGTGGTGCTGGTTGTGGTGGTGGTTGCAGTGGTGGTTGTGGTGGTGGTAGCAATGGTGGTGTTGGTGGTTGTGGTGGTGGTTGTGGCAGTGGTGGTGGTGGTGGTTGTGGTGGTGGTGGTAGTAGTGGTGGTTGTGGTGGCGGTGGTGGTTGTGGTGGTGGCGGTGGTTGTGGTGGTGGTGGTGGTTGTGGTGGTGGTTGTTAAATACAGTAATTATGTAATTTTTAAATTGACCAAATCAAAAATTTGATCTTATCTTATTAAATTGGTTTTAAGCAAAATAGAGCCAGATGTAAATATTGTGACTATGAGTTAAATGATGCTGTTGGAAGATGTGAATTGCATTTAAAGAAATGTAGCTCTGTACCAGTATCTGTTCTACAATCACTGTTTGGCTGAACATAATATCATCATCATTAGCATCTTCAATTACGATTCACAAAATTACCCAATAAACAATTTTGTTGATAGAATTTCTAAAAAGAATTAAAATTATTATTGGTTTATTTCTTTCACTTTGTGGCAAAAAGCTCATCCTGTGTTTGATTTGCCTAGAAGAAAAAACTTTCAAACGAATTTATTGTTCAAGTTATTGAAACAAGAGAAAAGATTGAGAAAGTGTTAAATATATAAGCTTGGTTTCAGATGGTTGGTGGGTAGCCAACATTTTTATAAAAAAATTTAGGTTTAGTTTATTTCGTAATTCAATAATTTATGATGAAAACATTATTATAGAAAATGGCGCGAAAGTGGCGATAGTGATAATGAAAAGTGATAATACTGAAGATGACGTTTGGATATAAAAACAGTACACAGGCAAACTCGATAAGTCGGCCGCATAATTTATATTATCAAGTACTTTAAACAATTGATTACTGCGGGCCGACTTATCGAGTTTGCCTGTGTATTCTAAAATTTTAATTTTTTCATCGGTCTTTCGTAATATTTGCATTGAGTAAAGTCATCATTACCATTTTTAGTAACGTGTAATATTCAAAAATGATTTTATTATCTAGTCAGTTACATATTTGATTGTATCATTTTATTATTAATATCTCGGAAAAAGCGTTTCTTTTCCGTATCATGAACAATACACAACGTGTATATAACAAAAAAATCCGGAAATTTTTTGTTCTTTCTAGCAGTCAATTGGCCATTACATTCTATATAGAGGACTTACCACAAAGACTGTTGATTTAAAACGGATTTTTGAAAGTCAATTATTTTAAACACAAAATCTATTAATAAAGACCTCAACTTAAAATGTGCCATTAATTATATAATAATAATTATTCATATATCGAAACATCAAAAATTTTGGTAAGTTTGTTAAGCGAGACATAGAATAATGAATGTTAAAGAATTGGAATGAAATTTGGCAAATTAGTGAGAAATGAATTTGCTGATTTTTATAATTGAATTTTTACTAATATTAAAAGCAATTAAAAATAAGTTTCATATAAAATTTATATTAATATTAATAGAAACTCCTGATTTTCAACTTTTTTTATATTTTTTTTTTCATTCAATCGTTATTGAGAAACAAACAAACAAAAGATTTTCAGTTCCAACCTTCACATAAAATGTGTATTGTGAGATCGTGTCCGAGTCTCAATGATGATGATTTGTTTAATACCAATAATATTAATACGATAACACATAGTCCAAATAACATATTAAATTTTTTCAAGCAACATAAACTATTTAAAATCCATTACTTTATCGACAATTTTAATTGGGGAAAAATTGGAAGTTTCCGAATGTATGTTGACTTTCTTGATGGTGTAAAATATTTAGAACGCATTTTGTAATTTTCAGCCAAAAGTTTCACTTGTTCCTACAAACAAAAAAAATATATCATAGATTAACACATGATAAAATGCGACACATTGTATACCTCCAATGCAATTAAATGTGTCAATGTAGATCCTAAAAGTGGAACCGATGGCTTGTCTATTACAATTTGTGTTTTCATAAAAGGCCATGTTCTGTAAATGCCATCATACTCGAGGTCCATTCCAAAAGATTCTATTGTATCGCCTAGATTTCAAATGAACAATCCAATGAATTTATTATAAAAGATATATGAAAATAATAAACAAACAAAAGATTAAAAAAACAGCTCTGTCAGGACCATTAATGGTTTTCTTTGCCTTGTAATTAACCTTAATGTAATCTTTGCTTCTTTGAAGCTTTGTAAAACCCATTGGCTTTACTTCTGAATTTAATATCGGAAGTTGATCTATGTGACATACAAAATCTGGTCTTTTATTAGTTCCATTAACATTTCTATTCAACTTTAAATTGTAACTTTTAAATGATCCACAGAATATAGGTTTCGAAACAGGATTCAGATAAAAAAATGTGTTCATCTTCCGATAATCTCATTGGAGCAATGATAGAAAGATCATCACATCTAAAGAATGTAAATAAAAAAAATTAGTTAGCTTTGATTTTTTATTTTTTGATCTTTCTTTAGTAAAGACAAATAAGTTGAAGACAACTTACAGATCATCAAAAATCTTTTTAATTATTTTACTATAAGGTAAATTTTTGATCAGGCTCAAAATGAGCATCAACACCAATACTCCTTTTAAATGTTGTGTCATTCAAATAAGAGGATAGAGAAGAATCTAGAACAGGTTTCTTAGTGTTAACAATGGTTTGCATAGAAAATTTTCACAATTACAATAGTAATTAATTCGTCGCCCGTAATTAATTTCGTCACCTTTAATTAATTACGTAATTACGTTTTTAAAGGGTGATAGTGGTAATTAATTACGTTAATTACGAATTACGTATTTACGAATTACCATATCATGTATAGTCAGTCATATGTAGTTAATTTAATCGTCTTTATGCATTGTACTAGAATAAATGGATCAGCACTAATCAACGTCATCTGTACATGTTAAAGGTCCAATCATCTAGTTCTAATTTATTCTAATTAATGTATTCCCTAAACATTATTTGAACCTTCTGTGTAGAATTATTTTCTAAAGTGATCAAAGCATTTAAATTCCTTCATTTAAATAGAATCCAAGAATTAAAGGTCCGTTACGATTTAGAATAATAATTCCGCGTGTTAATTATTTTTATTATTATTATTCGTTTATTACAATGATTGAGTAACAATATCAAATTGGTGGATTCTTGATCAGTATTAGTATTTTCTGTAAATTAATGTATATTCCAAAAAGAATATATTGACTCGAGAAAAGCAAATTAGTTTCTCAATTATTAACATTATGTCCACCGATCGAAAATACAAAGCCACGATCAAATTTGTGAGACCCAAATTGCTAAAATGAACCTAGTTAATTACACTCGCAACTTTTGTTTGAATTTATTTCACGGTTGCATTTTACTTGACCAGTTTGTTAACTACTATATATTTATTTAATTGGGGAAATCCTATTACTATAAAACTCCGAAAACTCCGATATAAAACCTTTGAATGTCCGTTAAAAATAGAAAATCAGCCATTTTCTGGATTAAAAAAACTTTTTGGTAAATGGGAATGCCAAGCAGATTTTTTATGTTTTTATGTTACAATGAAATGAGTGAATTCTTTGTAATTAATGCAAAATCTTTTTCTTGGTATTATTGTGTTACGTCCTAATATAAATTTTAATTTAAGATAATCACTATTATGCGATCGTTCAGGGTACCATTTTACCCATTTAGTACGTACTAATATATATTAACAAATCAAATAAAGATTCACTATTACAAAATAATTCTATTTATAGATAATTTATCATCATTTTGTATATAATATTTCAATTGAGTTAATTATGCACTATCTATATATGGTATTAAAAGTAAATATAAGCACTGGGTTTAACAAAACTTCTTTATTAATCTTATTCATTAATACTATTATAATAGTCTTTAAAAAAAAAAAATAGAGTTATTAGAAGGAAAATTATTACAAGCCTAGCTATTTAACTATTCTATTTCTTTATTATTTTACTTTCTTTAAAAATTCGTTGAACGAATTAAATATTCGTTTGTATTAATATTAAATTTCGAAAGCAAATAAATATATACAATATATATATATATATTTTCACACACACATATATAAGATGAAACCATTACTATCAATAATCTTTATAACATTAACTATTATCATATCAGCAATTAATTCACAAGATGCTGAATGCATTGATTTTCTAAATCCTTTAGACGTATCAGACAGAAAGCATGTACCCTGTCCATATGTGAAAACTAAACCTTCAACTTTAAAGTTTCAAACAGGTGATAATATGTTTGATATAAGATTTGCATGCGGTGCACAAGATCAAGTGTTGTGTGATAAGGCTCGTAAAGGTTTCGAAGCTGTGGGAAAGGTGATTTCTGCATCTATTATTCTCAAATCCAAAATTGTTATGAGTGCGAAAATAGCGCCTTTTGATGATCCTAGGATATTAGGTATGTGGAACGAATGAATGAATGAATGAATGAATGAATGAATGAATTAATTAATTAATTAATTAATGAATTAATGAATACATTGTATTAATTTACTTTTTTAAAACTCCTATTTAACCTTAGGTGCCGCTGGACCATCACGTGTTATGCCTTTAAGCGATCCTACTGATAATATAAAACGTTTATATCCGCAAGCATTAGTAAAACAATTTTCACTAACTAACGCACCACAATTTGGAGACATAGATATTGATGCACAATTTAATTCCGGTAAAGTATAATACAATTAATACAAATAACATATAGATTCAGAATGCATGATATTAATACATCATAATGGTTTAATAGGTGCAAATTTTTGGTTTGATGGAGATCCACCAATTACGGCTAGTCAACCAAATTTTCACACAGTAGTTTTACATGAAATGTTTCATGGGATGGGATTTTTTTCAGGTTATAGAGATTGGATGAATGTACTCGCCAATAATAGCCCTGTTCTTGATCCAGTCGTCACTCCAATGCCAACTTTCCTTAACGAGAACCCTATAGTATTTGGCGAATTTGTTGAAACTATTTTTGATAAACAAGTGAGAATACTTACAGAAAACAACAAAACACTTACAAATTTAACAGCCGAGTTCAATACATATATTACACCAAAGACGACTTTTACTGATCCCAATGATTTCATAACCAAATTCAAAGCTTCACAAGCATATACATCGGGCAAGACATTTCTCCAAACTGCCCAAACTCCAAAATCATTGCTTTTTGTACCAACTGCTGCAAAAGCCAACGTACCGGAAGGTGGTTTCTTGGAGACTACTATCTCTTATCAACGAGGTTCAAGTATTAGCCACTTGGATCAAAAAACTTATACAAATACTCCTGATTTCTTGATGAGACATTCCCTGGAACCTGGTGTTACTACTGATAAGTTGATTCAATTGGGTGGTAATTACAGCGGCGGTGCAATCGGTCCTTTGTTACTTGACATAATGTCATCAATTGGGTAAGTAGATACATACATATATATGTGGTACTATGTATATATCTGTGTGTGATTATCATACGCAATATTTGTTTACTATTATCATCATCATCATCATCATCATCATTAGATATGCAACGGTCGATAATCCAAAAGCTCCAGATAGTCCAAAACCTCCAAGCACAGATCCGAATACACCAAATAATCCTACTAGTTCATCAACCAAGTCGATAAACATGATAATAAATTATCATTATGCATTTGTCATATTGTTATTATCAGTGATTTATAATTTGTAATTATTTTTTATATTAATTTTTAGAAATTATTTTTGTAATTTATTGATTTTTAATACATGTGTGCCAAATTTCAAAGACGTTTTCTTTGAGATTTGTTTTAAATATAAAGATGGTGGTTGGTTGAAAAAGGCCAAAATAAATTTTTGGTCCGGAAATAAATTTTACATAATAATAATATATTTTATTAAAATTGAATAAACATTATTCTTATAATTCACTGGCAAGATATTGGATGAACACATCAATATTATTGTTGATTTAATAAGGAACAAAAAATCACTGTTGACAAGTTTCTTTTTTGAAAACCAAAGAATCTTTCATTTTTTTAAATTGTTACTAACCTAGCATTACCCTTGTATGAACTTCCTAGAACTATAACGCTACAGACCCAACCCACTTCCACTTGAGAGTTGATCGAATCATGTTATACTTTAGATATATATGTGAATGTGTGTATGTGTATGTGTATGTTCGTATAGAGAGCAGTTGGATCACATGAATTTGTTTTAGGATATCAGCTAAATCATCTGACAAATCACCAGACAACCCAATCCAAAACTTTGATCTTTTCTCTGCAAATGCTCAGATATTTTATTAATGAATTTTTCCTCTCAAACTTTCTTTTATACCTCATCACTATGGAGGTCACAACACAAAGATTTGCTGCCAGTAATCGACTCTTCATCAATAACGATAAAGTCCATACTAACAATTAGAAAAGTTGTAATGCTTCGAATATATTTGGCTGTGACATCAACAAGTCCGTCCGTCAAAGGGCCAAAAATTGGACAAGATGCACTGAAAAAATTCATTAAAATAATTTTACTAAAAATAATCTTGGTCACAGATTTACATAAACTTTTGTCAACTTATTTATAAAAGTTTTTATTATTATTATATATTAATTAATATGGGCATACTGCATTGTGTCACAAAGAAGTTTCAGGGATCAAAACATACTATTCAAGTATCTCATTAATGGCACTTTGTTAATCTCAATGGGACCCGGATAATATCTTATTTTCTTCAAATATTATCTCTATTGATGGATCGTCAAAGTTCGACCTGCAAATTAGAGCAGGCTTTACATAAAATCATTGAAGAGTATGTTTACGCTAAACAACTAACAAGCAAGAATTCCAAGACGATAAGCGAAAATGAATCGAAAAGAATTTAATCAAATTGATGGGTGGCATCATTTGAAAAAACCTGGTGAGGAAGAAGAGAAAACGGATACAAAGACCACAAATAGAATACTTTTCCGTTTAGATTGAACTAATATTACTAATGCAGATTGATTAACTAGCCCTGTTATTGGTTCCAAAAAAATGTAAACATGAAAATGTAATTATAAATGTGTAAAGTTGTAATAGCAGGAGACCGGGTAATATTTAGAAAAAAATGGACTATCTGGTCAAAATCACATTAATATATTTCAAGTTGTCTTATCTTCCATCATCTATTAATCGTTATCGTTTGCTTTACATCTTCTAATATATACTGATTGTGATGTTATTTATCTATTTATTTCCTTTCATCTCGTTGTTTTGTGTAAATGATATATTGATCCTTCTTTTCTCGGTGCTCATATTATTATTGCATAGCATTGACTAGCTTCTGTTTTTCATTATTCTTATTTCAATCAAGGCAAAAAGTACGAAATACAACTGGGGTTTATATTGCAGAGCTTGGTGCCCAATGAAGTTAATCAAATTGTTGCAAGAAAAATGGCTTCGGGGTTCTTGTATTGACTTTTGTAACCAGTATCAATCGTTACCGTTGTGACCGTTTTGTATAAAACATTTAGAATCAGGTAAACGAGTAGAAATCGCGAACAAAAATTTGTTTCTGAAAAAACATAGCGGATAGGATGAACGGTTATTTGTGTGTGTTTTTTAGTGAATGGACTGTTCCCGTTGTGGTGGCAAAACATCTCTTCCCATGTGTTAGTAGCTAGTTTTACCTATTGTCACCACTTTTTGATAATTATATGAAAGAGAAAACCTAATCTGATCTCACGCGTATATTATTGGTTTTTTTATTACGCGTTAGCTAATTTTTAACTACATCTCAAATATCAATAGCGATTGATGATATATGTTCTCTTGTTGGAGTTGTATGTTCTGATAATCGTATTTCAATACGACCTAAAGATATTTTATCAAGTGAAATCGTTTCATTAACATATATATTGCAAATGGGACCTGAGATTTATTTTTGTTTCGCCAGTTGGGCAGCAAGATTTGTTAAAATGAATATATATATATACCTTACCAAATGCAAGAAAAGTCCTATATATAGCTAACTTCCGAATTACTTCTAAAATGGAGGCGGGGAATCAATTTATATTGTTGCCCAGTTGGTTGAGTTAAAGTCATTGACGGGTCAGTTTATATATATAAATGTATTGATAATTGTTTCAATAATACTTTACATTTCATAATGATTACAGGTTGTATTTTTGAACATAGCAGGGTATTCGATTTTTTAAAAAAATCTTGGTCATGTTACACGTTATGGTTAACTTTTTATTCTGGATCACATATTAATATTATTAAAGTTCTGATTGGCTAATTTGAATGAATAATTATGAACAAGTAAAAAAAAAGAAATTTTTATTTAATTCAAATGAACCTGCCTGCACCAATTTTTAATCGGTGCTGTTGTCCATCTGTGTTATGTTACATTCTGATAAATATTTTTATTAGATACGCCCCCGTTAAATCTAATCGATAGAATAACATTTCTTGGAAATCAATCTTTATTCCATTCTGAAATGTAATTTTTCGTTTTGTCCTGTTCCCCATCGAATGGCATAATTCCAAATATCAATTTCGTCTAATGTCAAACCATCTCTTTCCAATATTGATATATTCTAAGCATTGATTTTTCAATTATTGCAAGATAGTTTGACTTTAGAATTGATGCTGGATCTTCTCCAAACAATTGATGTCTTGATGAAGTTTTATAAACGTAATTTAAAATTTGGTGAAACCATTCATTTTTTTCATTGACTAAATATTTTTCTAATTCATCAATCTTTGCATAGTCGAAGAAACGGCTATTGAAAAGTCATAAATATACAAAAGTAAGTAAAAGTACCGACAATGATAATTTTATAAATATTTATCAAGCGATAATAATAAAATTAATCCTTACGTTAAAAGAACCGCAACCAATATATTTGGAGAAATGGTTTTTTCCTCAAATAAAATAATTGCATTTTCACATCTTTTTACCCAATTTTCTGATAAAGCTATATTATTAAAATATAAAGATCTTGCTTTTAAAATTGTAGAATGAGCTTTAAAAGTTTCTTCTTCTTCATCTCCCACTGTGATATCGTGTCTATTAAAATCGTTCTCTGCGTCATGCTTATTTTCGAACTCTATTAAAGCGATCCTAAAATCAATCAAATAAATATTTCCAAGTAAATATATATATAACCTATTATTAATTTTTTGACTAGAAAAATTTTCGATAATTACCCTCCTCCTCTGCTATTATTTGGATCAACATTCAAACCCCCATATTCTTGAAACATGTTAGGCGCATTGTGTTGAAAAAGCAGAGGGAGCATATTGATAACACGATTAGTTGTAGTATATGGTATGGATGATTCATAATATGTATCCTCGCCCGGCAATGGACTTCCTTTTCTTTTACCTTTATTATTATTTCTTTTAAATGATAATTTACGATAATCAAAAAATGGTCGAGTTTAAAAAGATAACAGATGATAGTAGATATAATGTAGAATAGAAGCTGCTAACTAACCTTCTGTTCATAACAACAAATTTTTATCGAGAAAAAAATTCTATCCACAGGAAAAACTTTAACCAATCCAATAAACAATTAGCTAATGAAAGTTTGAGAATTCCAAAAAGGTCACCAATTACAGAAAGAACTCCCAAGAAATAAAAGCAAAGTGAGATTTTACGAATTAATATTATTAATATTGATGATTGAGAGAAATTTTTTTTTTATAATATTTATATACGAAACTCCCAGATGACAGATGAGATAAATTTTACACAATCTGGTGTATCTGAATATTAATATTGTTCTAATGGCGTACATGCAGTAATTAATAAACCGGTTTTACGACTGGTAATTTTTACGAACTTTATTTTAAGATAATTATGATAATTTAAGATTGTGGATATTTCAAGTATCCCAAGTATCTTTCTTAAAAAAGAATTGTCCTCGAGTCTTGAAGAATGTGATTCACGATGACTTGATGGACTTGGTTCTTGTTTTTCACGAAAAGACCTATCAATGCCGAAACTATTGATGTGGCACTCTGCCCTAAAAAATGATATATGCATTCATTCTGTCTCAACTGAATTTTCTATTGGGAAACTTGGAGTTAGCTGGTTGTCTTAGGATTACGGAAGCAGTGAACACCCTATATTAATTACAGGAGAGTTTACAGTAACATGAGCCAGATTTATTGTTACTTTTGCAAATGATTTTTAAAGAACTCGGCAATTATAAACCAGAAAGGAACCCAGAGACAAAAATGGATGACAAGGCGATGGAACTCACACCTTACATGGGGCTTGAATTAAAAACACTGTGTTCTTGGAATCGGTGTATAGGCGCAGTCAAATTTCATTATAAAAATCTGCAACGCAAGGTAAAAGAAAAAGAAAGTAATTTGTTTGCAGCTATCCAAGCCGTTTATTCTTGTGAGAGTATGCTTTTTGTCAACCATTGTAGAAGCCTTGAAAAAAATGAATATTGAAATATTGGTAAGATCCTCCAGCGCACAAAAGGTACTCTAATTTGCTGGTTTTTCCGGCATATTTTTCATTTTTCCCGGTAAACATTTTTTATTATTTCCGACGAACATTTTCATCCCATTTCAGTCGCATGACATTTCCCACCGATCTATGGTAAAATTTTATAATCGAATGTATTCACGCCCTCATTTGATACCCTTGCCGTGTAACAACCACCATCAAATTTGAGATATAACTTCTTTATTATATGTATCTGCTTTAAGAAAATTTTTAAAGGCAGGTTGTTAATAAACCGAAAATAATCTGACCCTCAAAGTCAAATTTTGCCATTATATTCATATATGTAAAATTTTGTTTGGCGTGTCCAATTGCAAGTATAAGTAGAAATAAATGTCCAATATTACATTATTATGACTATTTACAGATTTATGATCACTTAGATATGTCTTATATAGTAAAATCATTTATTTTAAAAGTAAATAAATAAATGATATTAAAATTTTCTTTGCCTATATACATAAATAATGATTGGAATAATAAACATGCAACAATAATAATTAAAAAGTGTTTTATCTCTGACTTTATACATTTAATTATTTATCATAGAGATGTTATTAAATATAAGTTAAAATAAAAGAGAAATTTATATACATAAATAAATAACAAATATAACTATTGAATGATTGATAAACCATTCGTTAGTATATTTTGCAAGCTTCATAGATCTTGTCATTAAGACTTACTTTGATCACTCCTATACAAACTATTGAATAATTGATAAAACATTGTTAGTATATTTTGTCCATAGATCTTGCCCTTAATGCTTACTTTGATCACTCCTATGAATAATTGATGAAACATTCATTATGTTTTGTTCATAGATCTTGTCCTTAAAGCTTACTTTGATCACTCCTATACAATTATTGAATAATTGATAAAATGTTTGTTAGTGTGAGCATGCAATCCGAGTTACCTAATAAAATAGGTTATTTAATGTTCAACACACACTAGGACAGTCCCTCGCCTAGGTTTTAC